GGGGGGGGGGAGCTCATCCTTTCCTTCTCCCCAACCATGTTCTGTCGTCTCCTTTTGTCTCCACTTTCTTCCCCCTCCCCCCTCCCCTTTGCTCCTACCTCTGGGCCTCTGACTTTTTCTGCTGCTACTCCTTAGCTCCTTCTCACTGCTGTTTTTAGCTACACCGATGAACTTGTGGTAGGTAAGTTCTAACATCTAGCTTTCTCGGATAAGGGCGAAAAATCTTGAAGGTCTCAAGTGCAAAGTTGCGCACGTTAAAGATCCCTTGGTGGTCCTAAAATCGATAAGATTTCAGACTTTCGGCCACCACTCTGGCAAAATTCAAAATTCCTACCAAACTGAAAATGTTTGATGTGTCCCGCGTGGTCATATGGCCGTTTGCACTTTTGAGCGCAGTAAGAAAACCCCCAAAACAAACAAACAAGACATATGAGAGGCGCTCAATAAGGCATTGTTCTGATTATGAAGGAATTATCGTAAGGAAGAGTCTAGGTAGTCTCCAATTGGGGTCTACGTAGTCATGGTTTCTAAGTGGACCCCAAAAATGTTGGATACTGATTGGCTCGCTGAGGTTGACTGTATAGAGAATTTTCACTGAGAATGTCAAATTTAAGCTTTCCAGCTTTCTTCTTTCACAGTCAGAGTAAAGACTTGTACACGCAGAACGTCTCTCTTTCCTTCATAGCCTGGTATTGAACCCCCCCGTACATAACGACCCTTACTCTCCCCCATCCTCTTCACCCCTCCACCTTCCTTTCCAACCCACCCTACCTTGTACACAAGGCCCCTCTTTCCAACCTGGGGCAGAAGACAATGCCTCCACCTTAACAAATTGCTTCAGTCCGCATTGAACGAACCTTGCAGCTGCTGAACTGGCAACGAAGAGAACAACACCTACAACAAGAAAAAGAACGACAACAACAAGTAAAACAACAACAACAACAACAACAACAACAACAACAACAGCAGCAACAACAACACCGAAAACAACAGTAGCAACAAAACTAACAGCAACTGCGCCGACAACAACAACATGAGTGTAATAGTTGGCTTTCAAGACTCTCCACCAATTTCCTATTGAAGATTGATGTTAAGTTCGGAGGTCACGCTGCTTAAATTAAGTTGAAAAACCTAATAGTGTTGATAAGCATGTAAAACCCACACGCTGACTTATTTACAGAGCGACATGTACACTAATAATACAGGCACTACTACTACTACTACTACTACTACTACTACTACTACTACTACTACTACTAC